AGATTTCAATAATGGAATCTTTATTGGAGAATGGAATAATGATCCATGGTCATTATACTATGAACATGAAAAAATGCACTTTATAAAAAATCTATGTGTAAATTAGTAAAATTGTAGTAAATATTCTAGTGTATTTTCATTTCATGTAAGATTATCCTGAACCTGATCTAAAATTTATCTTCCAAGGTATTAAAATTATTTTTAAAATGACAATACTAGTGGAGAATTGCACATGTAAATCCTACATATAGAATATATTAGAATATGTAGAAACATAAAAAAATACATGGATATTTATGAGGTGTGTCCAGAAAAAGTCCAGTCATTTTTAATATAATGAGAATGGTTTATTCAACATTGATGTAACCTGGAAGCCAAGGAGAGCCGACTAAAATTCACAAGTGTGAACAATGACAACTTCGCTGTACTAGGCAGTGGGGGATGGTAGATGTCATTGAGTGAGCACCTGTACTGTGTGGCTGTCATATTCAAAATAACTGAGCTAGTAAAGCAAGAAATCTGCACTAAATTTTGCATGAAGCTTGAACATTCCTCCATGGAAAATATTTAGATAATTCAGAAGGCTGCAGCTATGGACAACTGGAGATTGGCAGCTTCATCATGACAATGCAACTGCTCATGCATCATGTCTCGTGCAGACTTTTGTGGTGAAACATCTGATCACCCAGGTGACTCAGCCCCACTATAGTCCAGATCTGGCCCCTGCAATTTCTGGCTTTTCCCAAAACTCAAATCACTTTTGAAAGAGAAGAGATTTCAGACCATCCATGATATTCAGGAGAATATGTTTGGCAGCCCATGGCAATTGGGAGAACTGTGTGAGGTCCCAAAATGTCTGCTTTGAAGGGGACTGAGGCATCATTGTCCTATGTACAATGTTTCTTGTATCTTGTATCTTCTTCAGTAAATGTCTCTATTTTTCATATTACATTACTGTATACCTTCTGGACACCTTCTGGACAGACCTCAGAGTTTATGGCCAAAAAAATTATTGATGAAAAAATAGTGTGGGAACAACTGAATGTCAAGAATCAAAATTATATTTTATACTTCAGCTTCAAATCATAGACTAAGATATATTTTAGATAAAAATATTATAATATGTGTTAGATAATACCATAAATCTATGTACACATAATCTTATTGTTACAGATGGGGAGAGAGATCCAAGTCAGGAGGCCCCACCCTCCCTTGCCTCAGTTCTTGCCTCACCAGCAAGAGAATAGTTCCAGCAGGAGACAAACACATGTAGTGGAAATTAGATAGCAAGTTTATTTATGTAATACACATCCTGGGAGCTGCAAGCAGGCACCCATTAAGTCTAAATGCCCCACATATAGGGGAAAGAAAGTTGTTAGCAAGTTAGTTAGTTAGTGAGTTTGTTCTATACACCTGAACCCAGGCTACAAGTGGGTACTTAACCTAATGTAATTATGCCAACTATTGAGGATTGGAATTATATACCTCAGCTGGCAACTAGAGGCACCCCTCCTCCACAGCTACAGAGGCTTTCTTTCTCAGTTAGTAAGAGCTCTGTCTTAGTGAAATTGTTACAGAGGCCCCCTTTCCCAGTACCTAATCTCAAGGAATACCCCCTTTCTTCCTATTCATGATGTTTAAGACACCTGGCAATCTTAGTGACATTGTTACGGAAGCTGACAGAAGCCCCCTTCTTAGTAGAGTTTCAAGGACTCCCCTTTCTCCTATGCTATTTTGCTTGTAATTCTTCAGACACCTGGCAATCTTATCAAGCTGAGCTCAGAATACTGAGTTAATTAGTGAGACATGTCTTCCTTTTGCTTCAAGCCTCCTGTATTAAGTTCTTTGTTAGATTGTGATGGTGAGGATGCTGCCTTTATTGCCCCTCTGGCCACTCATTTCTAGCTGCAACCTAACATTTTCATGGAAAAGTATTTCAAATCATGGCCGACAAATCAAGCATCATAATACAAAATTTTGATAGATTTGATTACATAGATTACAAGATTTTTCGATGGCTGTAAAGACCATGTGGATAAAGAACAACTTTTTTAAAAAAAGAACAAATAAAAATAAATGCTCCCACTTAGAAATTTCTAAAATTCTTCATCTTTTTATGGAGAGTGCTATTAAAACAGAAAATTAAAATGGAAAAATAGACAAACTGCATAAAGAGACAAAATTAATTTAAAAATATGGGAAAAAGCATTTACACATTTATGTTAACATTAGTTAATAAACAAAATAATACTTTTCAATATTAGATAGGTACTTTTTTAAAAATTATAATATCTGACATTAGTATTACATAGGGAAAAAGTCACTCAAGTGCAGTTGGTGAAGACTGAATTTATACAATCTTTCTGCAACATAATTTGGCAATATTTTTCAAATGACTCAAAAAGTGTTATACCCTTTGATCCAGCAATACCACTTCTTAGAATTTATCTTCAGTAAATAAGACAGATACTGATATGTATGAGAAAGAATGATTCTTCAGTTCTCCAAAAGAATCCCAGTTCTGAGATACATTCAGCAAATAAAATAGATAAGATTTATGACTATCTGTATTTGGGGACCTGAGCAAGGGGTGTAATTTGAAACTGATTCTGAAGTACCTAAGCATGGAAGAAAAACAGGGAATTTAGAGGTGTGGCAGCTTTATTTTTTGCTCCCTTGACATTTTTTTTTTGTTAGATTTGTGGCCAATGCCAGCAATTAAGGAAAATTCAAGAAATATATAATATAATGCTAAATTAACAATAGCTCCTATAACAGATTAACTAGTTAATTAATGCTCAGTTTTTTAAAAATAACCTCTTTTTAAAAAATGCAATTCAATGCATGTATTCTTAGTTGGGCAATTTTTTCCCAGGTAGAGATTTATTGACCCATAACCTTACTTATTCTGAGGGCTCTCTCATTTTCAACTTGTATCAGCTGAGATCACTCTACAGGATTACATGTGGAAGTTTTTATTGGCTGAGCCTTCATTCAGTTGGCTGGAACACAAATCACATGGTCACTTTCAACTGCAGATGACTTTCGTAATTTTTAGCTCCATGCGGTGAAAGAATAGGAAACGAGTTTGTTATCCGCTAGAAATCCCTGCCCCAATATACCTTTCTGACCATCAAATATCTTTTTATGTCATTTCCCTTGCACAAACCACTGTCAGAACCTATCCAAAGAACAACCTAAAAAACCTATCAAACCGATATATTGAACTCGAAGACCAAGATAGTATATATGCACAGCCCTCTTCATCATACCTAGGTGCATTAGTTAAGGAACAAATGAGCCAAAAGACTAATGCTCGTCCCCACCCATACACAAAACACAATCATAGAACAAAGCCAGGAGAAGCCCCTCTTAATATAAATGCTCCCATTTAGAAATAAAGGAAGAATGACAAACTCGGAGCACTCACCAATCCTCAGCAATTATTGAAACATGCCAGATTGGCATTACAAGATCCCTCTGCCTTTGCAATAGTTGTAATGACTTGCAAAGTCATTTTCCTTTTACTTCCCCTAATTCCATACTATGGGAAATTCAACCTTGTAAGTTATACTCATTTTTCTTTTACTTCCCCTAATTCTATACTATGGGGAATTCAACCTCGTAAGTCATACTCATCTGAAGTGAGTATTTGAGAATATGTCCTCCATGGGGGCTACATAGCTTCTATAGTCCACTTCTTGCTTTCTTTAAGTTTGGGAGTTAAGAAGTTGAAATTACAAATACACTTTTTTTTCTTTCTACCTAGACATATGTTTCTTGGACACAATAGTTTTATCATAAACACAGAATACTCCTAATCTATGTACTGTATTCATGTGCCTATGTGCTGTATTCAAGATATTTTGAAGGCATAATTGCCAAGCCTAATTTATTTCTTCACTTTTTCCCTCCTCTGAAGGTCTCTTTTAGACTGTAAGCAGCTACTCTGATCCTATCTGCAGCAGTAGGCTTGGAAGGGTAGACAGTGCATTCAATCTGATCTTTGCCATAGGGCTGAGCCTTGGTGGATTTTGTTGCTAAAGCTTTCATTTAGTTTTATTCCTTACTATGCAATTCTGTAAATAGTTGATTTTCTGAACCTTTGAGTACCTCAGTGTCTGGACTTTCTTTTGATCTTTTCCATTTCTGTTTGAAAACTGGCTACAGTTTTCTGGCCTCATCTAAAAGGCAGAATATAAAAGTATATTATTAATCTATATCTTTTCAACCATTTTCTCTACAGCCACAAGTGCAACAGGCACTTAATCCTCAATGCTGAGTATTCATTTTCCTCCTCTATCAATACTACTTCACAAAATTTGTAACACTTTCCTCTCCTTGAAATACATTCTTCCCTTTGATCAACTAGAGTGTAATCTCCAGGATCTTTTCTATTGCCCTGGTCTCTCCTCTTCAGTCTGCTCTGCTAGAAGCACTCTCTCTTCCAAAATTTTAAATATAGGAGTTTTTCAGGGCTCAACTTTCAGACCTTTTCTTCCATCTAGACTCACTCTTTTAGGGAGTTTATCAGTTTCCATAGCTTTAAATAACATTTATAAAATAAATTCCAAGTTATCATCTTCAGCCTCGTCCTTTCCCATGACATAATTTTACTTTAAAAATTGTATAGTTGTGTTCCTCTGACTAAAAAATATTCACACACATATTTTCAGTTGGAGAAAAGGAGGAAGGAAGGTATAGAATTATGCAAAATCATATATGTGCATTTGTTTATTCAGTCTCTAAAATGTAAATTCAATAGCAACAGTGATTGATGTATAAAATGATGTATCCCCAGGTATCACTATGCTATAGATACACACTGAATATTATAGATACACATAAATATTTGTTGACTAGGTAATTGGTATAATATACATTAATAAAACTTTATTTTAATGTAGATATGTTAATTTTGAGTAACTCATTCTAAATACTGATATGTACTCTATGTCTAAATGACACAAACTTAACCACTGTTTTCTTCTCTTTTTTAGATCCCAATGCTCTGGCTGGCCAGACTGGCCCTGATCATGCTCTTATAGGAGGAATAGTGGCTGTAGTTGTGTTTGTCACATTGTGTTCTATATTTCTGCTTGGTCGATATCTGGCAAGACATAAAGGTAAGGCATACTTAATTCTTAACTTGGACCAAAAAATTCCAAAGACTAGCTTTACCATGAAATATATGAGTGTGAGTGAGAGAGAGAAAGAGAGAGGGTGAAAAGAAGAAAAAGATTGTGATCTAAATGCTGAATTATTTCAGGAAATTCTTTATAATTTTACTCAACTTTAAAGTTAAATTAGCTTAGCAAAGTAATGTTTAGCCAATAGCCAAAGGCCTCAGAGTGAGTAGCTAGTTGAGAAAAAAATGGAAGCAATTTCATGATTTATGTCTTGAACTGAAATTTAACTATACCATTAAGCATTTGTTCATTATTTCTGTTTGTAGGTTTATGAACACAAATATGGCCATATTAGTGAGGAATAGAAAAAGTTTTGTTTTGTTTTTTTTTGCAAAGGGCTAGGTAGCAAACTATTGATATAATGTATAATGAACTTTCAAGTGGACTTACCAAAAAAGAAGGGTGACACATTTGATGTGATCATTATCAGCATCTTAACAAAAGACACTGATTGCTACAGCTGCATGGATTACATGGTCTGTATCCATCATTAAAGTAATCAGACAACTGTAATTGAACAACAATAAAATAATTTTAAAAAAGAATTAAGATGCAAATAAAAAAGTAATCTAAGTACTCATTACCCACTCCAGTTTAGCTGTTACCTCTGGTTAACCTGGCTACAGCTTTATCTACAGCTTTTACCTAAAAGCTGAAAGTAAGTATGCAACTTTAGAAGGGTAAATTGTGTAGTTTATTACACCTCCAAATATGTTCCAACATGTAAGAAATCTGGCATAAGTCCCATACTAAATGAATGTAGCTTTAATGCTGGCTATTTACCAGTCTCACAGAACTAACATATTTTTCTTCCAATACCCACAGGAACATATTTAACAAATGAAGCTAAAGGAGCTGAAGATGCACCAGATGCTGACACAGCCATTATCAATGCTGAAGGCAGCCAAGTCAATGCTGAGGAGAAAAAAGAGTATTTCATTTAAAATGCAGGCCGAGATTCTGAGTTTTACTTACCAGGCTGGCTGCTGGAGAAAACTGGCTCTCATCTTTCAGAATTCATTTCTACCATCTTCTGCTACCTTTATTAACTTCCATAGCGTACTGCTGTCAGTAGCCAGGGTGTACCAGCAATCAGCTGCCGAAGGCATCATTCTTTAATCACTGTACCATCCATAATGCAGGACATTTCTTACTGCCTAAATTCCACACCATTGCTCTTTTAACATACAGTGCTTGAATATACAGCCTTAACAATGTTAATAATCTCCTTGGATCATGATATTGAATTGTTTTTATACATTGAAAAAAGTGTATGCAGAGTTTTTCTTGTTTGTTTCCCCTCATTTTCACCCCCTTTAAATCATGGACTTAGTTTGCCATTGGACAGCTTCACAAAAAAACAGAATTAGGTAAAGAGCTAATGTGCTTAAGTTTAATCAGACATTAAAAGTTTACAGACAATGTTTTCTACATGTCTCTCTTCAAAGGCATGTTTGGAGACATATGCCCTAGAAAACACAAACTGAAAACACTGTAGTATAGATTCTGGATTGTTTGCAATATACTGGTAAGGCTGTATCAATTTGCTATTTAAAACTATAGTATTTGATACAGGAGCCATGTGTATGAAATGTAATCCTGTCATGGTATCTTATGTAATTGTATAGATCCCACCATTAGGTTATTTTAGCTTCATTTACTAATAAATTGTTACAAACATTTTACTGCTTGGGGATCACCAAGATTTCATTCATTTTTCTAATTTCATTCTGTAATTTATTTGCTCCACAAGGACTTACCTTCCTAAACAAAATTGAAGTATCCATAGGGCACAATTTTGAGACATTTTAGTATCTGTATATAGTGCATATAACAAATCCAATTAAACATTATTTGATACATATTCAACTTTTGGGGCTGTAGGTAGTTCAATCATAAGTGAGCATTTTCTAATGTCCATTATATCCCTTTAGATATTACTTAAACAAATATTATAAGTAGATAACATGTATTAGTATTTTGTCTGTATGTCCTAGCACTGTTCAACAACAAATTTTTCTAGTTCTTGTTAATTTTTATTTCTTATACAATGGAAGCACAATGTTATAAGGAAAGGTAATTTTAAGCTAACAACCAGTGCACAGCCTCAGGTTTAAATTACAACCACAATAGAATAATAACCTAAAAATAAACTCTTAGTTTGCTAAAAAGTTTGCAAGTTTTAATTTGGCAGTTCCATAGCTGCTTACCTATGTTGGTTTGCCAAAAACAAGTGTTTAAGATATGTTTTCTGTATAGGTAAACTAATTCTTTATATTAAATTCCTGTCTATGCATTTTGTGAGGTACAAGCTTATGAAACAGTGAGTGATAGAGAATTTCTGCCATGCTTTTACCTCCAAGGTGAAAGTCTCTTCCTCTGGATTATTTCTGAAATTTTGGTGTATTTAACCATTAAGAAATGCTGTATCCTTAAATATGACACAGAGTTCATCTAAAGTCATATTATTTCTTCTAGTAAAATACAATATTGTTAGATTAGTTCCCATTGAATTTATTATATGCTAAAGATTAAAAATCCAGTTAGATGAAAATTATTTTCTCATTCACAAGCATTGCACCTTTAAGAAGAAAACAAGTATGACAATATGGTAGCTCTACTTGTGATGTCAAAGCATGATGGCCTATGGTTTTTAAAAAACAATATCTTGGAATTTGCTTTGGGGAATTGAGAATGTTTGAGTATGACATCATATGTTAATATCAAATGAAAGACAAGGGTGCTGTATCTTAGATTATTTATCAGAAAAGTATAAATCTTTTAAATACAATGTTAGAATTCTAAATTGTTTTCTTTTTATTGTTGAAGCATTTATCTTGTTATTTCTTACAAAAAGGAAAAAGGATGATGTCAGTCAAGCAGCACTTTTTCAGAATATACAAAACATACATAAATAATATGATGTGGTTGAGTGTTAACATAATAAATCATATACAGTATGGCATTTTAAGGAAATAAGTCTGCATTGATGTGATTGCATGCTTGTTTTTACAGTTCAATTCATACCATCTGTGGAAAAATGCAATAATATGTTAATATAGTATGGTAGTTTGAGAGAATCGGGTAGGTGCTACTAGACACATTGAAACTAGAATAGGTTTATAAACTGTTCATATCTTTCAATGCATAATCTTTAGAAAGACTCCACAAAGCAAAATTCATCCTGTTAGTACAAATTGAAAGTTTCTTATTACAAAAGTTGTACAAACCCCATCATCAATTACTATTTAAAGCCTAATTTCAGGATGTACTTACAAAATTGCTCCTATTCATTAATGTTGCATTTACATCTTTCTTCATTTTGTCTATATTCTACTTGGCTCCTGATGCTTAATTACCGCCTAAATAAATCATTCATTATTTCCAACACTGTAAAATTAAAAATCCAAAATTGGTTGCCTTTCAAGATTTTTTGATTCTTTGACCTTTCAGAGTAATATAAAAACTCTTTAGAACTCTTTAAAACAAACTAACTGGTGATCTGTAAGCTCTAATTGATTATTTCACCAGTTAAAATAGATAGATTAGGTATCATTTTAGTTACTGAAAAAATGGCAATTGAATTATGGTTTCCTATTTTTTAAAATTATTTGATTTCTAACAATCAAAAAATAAAATATAAAAATCTTTGCTTATTTCTATAAATTTCAGAATAAAATGAAATACCATTTTTAAAAGAACCCCATCAAATTCAATGTCCAAACCATGCACACTTTTATGCATAGAGAACCAAATTCTGTCTCTGCTTAGTGAACACAGAAGCTACAGAACTCAGTGGAAGGAGTGTGCATATACACACAGACTTGCAACCAGCCCTAGTAGAATATGGAACATCATTTTTTTACCAGAAGTAGCTATTCTCTGCCAGTGTACTGTTTACAGTGTAAACTGATTGTCCTTCATCAAAAAAAAATATAAGCAACATTTTTTCTTGTTTTTTTTTTCTGTTTTTCAGTGTCCTAGATAGAAAAAATTATCAAAATTAGGAAGAAAAAGGAAAGTTTGTGAGTGGAAGAGCGAAGACAGAGACCATGAGCAGAGTTTTGAGGTGTGTGTGGGGGGCGAGTGAGAGAGAATGAGAGAGAGAGAGAGAGATTGATTGATTTTTACTTGTTTTCTCTTACTAGAGAATTCAAGAGGCAGTTTAAGGAACCTGATATTGGAGTTTAATCTAAAAACTGGGTAATATCATATTGATTCAAGATGGTCAATCTTGCAACAAAAGCCCACAACTAAAGTAAAACAACAACAAAAAAAAATAAAACAGAGAAAGAAAACTAACTTTCCTAAATATAGCAAAGAAGCTAACACCTCATTTATTTTTAATTTTATGTAAAAATATATAAATATCTCGATTAAAAGGACAGGTTCACTTGTAATTATGTACTCACGATTGTAATAGCATTGAGATTCCATATAGGCACATGTACAGCAGTTATTCGACAGTGATGGTTCTTCCATGTAATATAGCAGTTATTGTATAATATAGTGCCACTTATTGCAAAGTGTTACAAGGGGAAGATTTAAAATACTTTTCCTTTACTTTGGACTTAAAAGGTAATTTAATGTACACTAAAGATGAAACTTCATATTAGGTTTTTAATTGTGGAGAAAATGTAAAACCTCTATCTTATGGCAACTTCCTTGTCATAATGTTAATTACTCAGAGCCCTCTAAAAATGCCCAATATTATCCCCCTTTGCAAATGTAACCTGTGATAAATATATAAAAACAAACAAAAACAATTGGCAATGACAGCTGAAATAAATGAAACACCTAGTGACAATTACTGAGTAATGCTTTTTATTAAGTGGCACAAAGTACACACTAAAAACTATGCAAAATATAGGTAACTACAGTGTACGTACATGTAAGTATCTTGTACTTGCTGTTTATGGATGTTCAAAACCCATGTAATTATAATATGCATTTTGAATATTGGGAAAGAGGAAATCTTAGTGTAGATAATAGGATTTGTTTTGAAATATACACTGGCAATATTGAAATATACATACTCAGTGCAATACCTGCAATTCTATTGCTGGATACTTAATACAAAGGGGTTTTAAAGAATTCTTCAACAAGATCCAAGGGGTTACTAACCTTCACCTCCCACATTCTAAATCATTGCTTTAAAGAAAACTGGCTCAGCTAAATGATGTTTTTCTTTCATAATCATTAACATTACAAAATAAAATTATTTGGCTTAGTTTTTAGCCTTACTAGAGAAAAAGAAAGTTTTATTTACATACAATTTAATTTATAATTATTAAACATTATTTGAAATGCATGTATGTTTTAATGAATTTGGGGACTTCTGTTATAAATACAAATTTATTCAATCAAATCATAGGTTACCTTTCATAGGTAATGTCACTATACTTTAGTGGACATTTTTTGTATCTTTTCTTTTTCTATTCATTTTTTCCCCTTCCCTATGTTACCCCAAACATACCCTTTGCACCTATACCCTTCCAAAGGCAATGGATTGAAAGTAGCAAGATTATAAACAGAGCTAAAAGGGATACCATATAAGAATGGGTTCTAAACTAATAAGCATTTTTATGTGTTGAGATTATTAATATTGAATGCAATAGTTATTGGATATAGTTGGTAAGTTCTCTGCCATGCATACTTACAATAATCCTACCTCTCACTTTTAACATGGGCTATGATACTTCAATATAAATAGAAGAAATAATTATTTACAAGGTATCCCAGGAAGCACTCATTAGAGGCTAACATAGCAGTCTGCTCCCCACACCCTGGGGATTCTCAAAAGCCAACTTGTTTTAGTGTATTCAACAGTGTATGAGTCTGCCTTTGTTTTTCTTTTTCTATCATCAACTTTTCCTGTAGGCAAAACATTATGACTTTATAAGAATGGCTCTTCTCATGATTATTTAATATTGCAATGTATTGTGATTTTGTTGATTTTTAAAAAATAATTTAAATGGCAACAATTTGTAGCCCAATCTATTTATTTAATATTTAAAATACAATTCCTTATGAATTAATGCTATGCTTTTAAGTGAAAATTATAAATGTAGTTTATTTTGCCAAGCAGTGTTATCTAGGTAAGACAAAAATATAAGTATTTAAGACTGGCTCCTTATTAACAAATAATATCTAAATAATAAGTGCAAAATATTGCCACAAATGGCCACTTTATTTTGTCTATATAGACACATCAATTTTTCAAATGATGTAATTTAATTATTCTAAAAGGAAATTACATTTCAAAAGCAGATTTTCCTCTAAGAAAAGGGTACAAGAAAAAACTCAATTATGACATTGAATTTATAGTATATGCTTGAAGTTAAAGATGTTTCTGTGTTATGTGGTTATGTTATAAATATATTTCATCTAATCTTTATAATCTCTTCCATATATGTGTGTGTATGTATATACATATATATACATATATATATGTATATGCTAATTACAAGAAATGTATGGGTTATTTTGGAGAGAATGGGCCCCATGTGAAAAAGATGTAAAAAAATAAACTTACTATTTCCCCCTATGAAATATGCTGTACATTTCAAAAGAAGAAAAATGAAAAGATATTTGAAGATTGCAGGGGCAAAAGAAAAACCTACCAGGGCTCAGCACTTAAGCACTTTCCCACATCCAGGGTCAGGACAGCAGTGATTCCCACATGGACTTTTAAGTGCGGTATGAAATGCCACATTACAATTCTCTTACACACAGTACTGTCAAACCTCAGATACTTTCTTTCTTCAGATGCTTTTCCTTGTACATGATACTAGTAGCCACTCTTCTCTTTATATTTGTTGATAGTGAAAGTTATATGCAATAAAATATTTCATGATTGAAAGCAGTGGTCACCAGCTGGTTAGAAAAAAAAACTATGAAATGTAAACTGAATTATTTCTTTATCCTTTTTACTTTTCTCTGTGTTTCTAATGTATTGAAAAATACTCAAAATAGAAAAATGATTTAGACATTTTTCAAAACTAGTACTTTTTCTCCTTATAAATGTATAAAGTTTTAATCTCCTTACAAATTTATTCACCTGTACTTGTTGTACCTATTGTAGATTCAATGATGCAGTTAAGTAGTAACCCAAGGATGTATGAGTTTGTAATTACTAACCTATTTTCTTCATATTCAGTTCACATCAATATTTGTGAATTGGTTGTTTTGCTTTTCATGCAACCAAACAATATTCCCTCAAGAAAGCTCCATTTTTATCATAAACATTTCAATATAATCAACATTGGAACAAGTCTGCCATGTTAAAAAGAATTTAAAAACTTATCTCTGAAGATTGTACTCAAGAAATGCAGGTGTTTCCAGCAATGTAGTTTCAAAAATAAAATGTTCTATTTATATGATATGAAATTCATAGCTTTTGGAAGGGTATATTTATGACAGCATAAAAATAAATTATATGTTGTAAAGAAGATCCATCAAAATCAAGCATATTGCACAGTTATTGAATATACTGTTCTTATTAACATGTTCAGAAAACAAAATGCATATTGTAATATTAGGTACATGACACTTGCATGTTGATATGCCTATATACTTACAAAGTATTCAATGTGTACTTAGTGATGCTTAAACTATGTCATGTACAACTCTTACAAACATTCTTACAGGGTTCCCATTTGCACTTCATCTTTCAATAAAGTCTTGTCAGAAAAAAAAAAAAAACTGTCCAATATATATATATGGAAAAATAAAATTTGAATTTTAGTTATCTGTTGGACATTACTGAATTGTCTGTTCATTTAGTTCATTTTCTTAGGCTTGAAAACAGACATTGAAAGATGGAACTTTCTTTTTTTCCCACTGGCAGGTTATAAAAGATTTACAAAACACATTCCCTTATGCCAAACACTGTTTTGCATATCTATTTTGAAGTGCATACATCATTCTTCATTTTAGATTTCCTCAATGATGTTCATTTTCCTGTAAGTTTCTCAATGAAAGTTTAAAAAATTTAAGCAGTAATAAAATAAATGTTATCTTATTTGTACAACATTTAGTCATTACTCCTTGGAATAGGTGAACCTTGTAATATGCTGACTAAGGGTTAAACAATGTTTCTGACTTAGGGAAATTCGCTTCAGATTGCCAAAATTTCAAAACTCTGTAATTTTACATTCACTTATGTCTGTTTAATAATGTTGACTATGAACAGAAGCAAAAATACTTAAACCTATTTTTTTATTTTTACACTCCAGTATTATACATTTCAACTACCTAAGATAATGCAATTAATAATATATCCATCCTAAGCTTATGCGAATAAGAATTTGAGATAAGCTTTTAAATTTATGGAGGATTTTCTTTGTGTCTTTGGAAGTTCACTTACCATAAGGTATTTTATAATCTACTTTAAATAACAGATTTTGTTATACAGGGTAAGCCAAAGGCTGTACAAGAATTAGTGTCATTGGGTCTGATATTTGTGTTAGACCATGAATATTCCATTAAAATTTATCTGTAAATACAAAGCAAGATTTTGTATCTGGTTTATTTTATTAAATAATATTTTATTTATTTTCATTCATTTTTTTTCTTAGCAAAAGAAGCCCTGTGATACATGTTAGCAAATTTGATGCTATATTTAAGATCAAATTCAACACATCTTAAAGGAAACAATGACACTTGAAGTGCATTCATAGACACAACATTTTTAATGATATCTCAAATACTCATTCTTACTCAGTTCTGCAACTATCTACACATATGACACTCATGTTTCATAGATAAACCAAGTCTACATTTTCATGATGGCAATGGTTATTTCTGTCGAAATATTTTTTGACATATTTTTTTTTAAATCAAGGAGTCATACTGGAAATTCTATCTACAATTCACTAAAGGGCAGCATTAAGTCTACGTGCTCATAATAATTGCATAGTGGTTTTAGTCCAAGAGAGAGATCCTCATTACATGAAAATCCTGGGTTGATGCTAAAAATAACTGCACACCCATTTAAAGCAGGAAGTTCAAGTCCCAGCTGGTGTAGCTCCGTGATTTGAGTACAGGCCTGTGAACCAAAGTCTTTCTGGTTCAATTCCCAGTCCGGGCACACGCCTGAGTTGCAGACCAGGTACCCGGTAGGGGTCTCAGCAGAAGTAACCATGCACTGATGTTTCTCTCCCTCCCTTCCCCACTCTCTAAAAACAAATAAATAAAATCTTTAAAAGGAAAAACAAGAAATTCAAGGAAATGTGTAACTTTTTTTCAAACAATCCTTTTTTGGTTTGTGAAATGTGAGGGTACTTTTTATTTTAAAATAAATGTGAGGGTACTTTTTAGTTTAAAACCTAGAAAATAAAAAAAATGTTTAAAAGTTAAGGGGAAAGCAGTTTCCTGTTTGCATTTTAAATGCCACTTACTGAGGTTCTACCTTGCATGTTATTTAATCAAGGCATAACTATTGAACACCTATTCTAAGTATATCAAATCAATCTCCCTCCTGAACCTGAATACAGTGCTTTATGCGCAAACCTTCAAAACCCATTAATAATTAAATCATCCTTCCAAAAAGAGTAACCATTTTTCTGTGTCTTTGGCATTCCTATGTTGGAGGTATGAGTGAGAAAATTAAAATTATAAAAGAAATCTTTTGATTTAATCAAACTGAAAAACAAATAGCCTATCATTCAACCACTATTCATGGTCTCAAATTTGATGGATATTTTCTCTAAAGATTTTCTATGTTAGTTTTTAAAAATTGATCCAGTTAATAAACTAATACTTTAATGTGCTATAAAATTTAGAATATTAACTCATCTTCTGAAGAGTGGCCATAACAATGACCAGAGTCACTATGTTATTAAAAGTGCTAAGAGCTTGTGTCTTGAACATACTATCAAAACTATCATTTGTTTTGTGTTTCTAAACTCAATCCATACACAGATGGATATGCCTATGATATGAACACACGGCCAATTTAAGGAATGGATTTTCACACAGGTTGTTGTTGGTGTACATTAATAATGTGATGTAGGCTTTATGTACTAATAAAATGTTGCTGGAAAACAGCATAAGATTTAATTAGTAAAATTGGTATGTCAGATATATGTCTTTTTTCCTCCCAAATTAAGAGGACATTAAGATGTGGAAAGTTTTTCAATGGGCTTGGATTAAATAATGATTAAAAGAGAATTGGAAATTGCCTAAAGGTAAGTTTTACATATTTGGCAATTTTGTCAAATCGGAACATGTCCTAATACTTTTCTGCCAGAGATCAGAGAAGCTCTATGGAATGGGATCTCAAAGGGTCAGCAATCCACAAAGCGAAAAGACAGGCTCAGCTGTGGGAGGGTGATCAGCTGTGGGATGGATTTGGGGATCTAAGGACTTTCATGTCACCCACATATGCTAAAAATTACACATTCATTTGCTTCAATAAAGTAACTATTTAAAATTGAATCTGTTCCCATGAAAACAAAACCTATCAACTTTGTACCACTTATAAATTGAATCCTCAGCTTTAGGCTGTTTCCGGCTCCCAAGCACTAAATAACACATACAGTGTACCAGGTGCCACTAAAGTCGCTTCTTTGGCCTGTATATCTTATAGAAGGCATTAGTATTTTTAATCCTATTATGCTTACAGATTTTCCTGCTAATCTGATGGAGTCATATAAAATAGGACATGCAAACATTACTTTGCTTAGTGATTGGAGCACACTTTAAGTCTAACCATGACGCCGGGCTAAGATTCTGCCTATAGCTTTACGCTAAAAAATCACATTTCCTATTTACTTTGTCTTTCTGGTACCCAGCCACTACTTATAATCTTGATACTAAGGTATTAAAATATCACTACCCCTACTTCCTACCATACAGCTCCTAAAACCCTTGGAATCTCTGACAAACATGTTTTTGTGTGCTAGAGATGAGTGGTGCCTGACAGTTCGTGGGGAGCCTGAGAATGGAGGCTAGCTGCCAGGGGACCCAACCAGGAGATGAAGCAGTTGAAACATTTAGCCCCAAGCCCTGACCTCTGGAAGGGGAGAGGGGCTGGAGTTTGAGTTGGTGACCAATGGCCAATGACTTAATCAATCATGCCTGTGCAGTGATAAAACTATCCTTAAACTATGGGGATATTAAAAATCCCTGAAGTATGGTGTTTTGATAGCTTTCTGGCTGAACACGTGCAGGTGCTGGGAGGGCAAGAACTGGGAGACAGACCACAAGCTATGCTCCTTTCTCCATACCTTTTCCTATGTGTCTCTTCTATCTAGTGGTTCCTGAGTTATATCCTGAGTCTAGTTTCCCTGAGTTCTCTGAATGGTTGTAGCAAATATTCAAAACTGAAGCGGAGGTGGTGGAGACTTCTGATTTGTAGCCCTGTCAGACAGAAGTCGTAGGGAACTTGTAGACTTTCAACTGATGTCTGAAGTCAGGACAATTTTAAAAGACTAAACCCTTCACCTGTGGAGTCTACACTAACTTAAGGCAGTTACTGTCAGAATTGAGTTAACCTGTAGGACAGGCATCTAGTGTCAGAGAATTGTTTGATGTGGAAATCTTCTCCCACCCCCAATACACATGCATGCACAGATTCAGACAGAGCAGAGTGCTGCTTCCCCCACTGTGCGATTCTCAAAATTCACCTATCTTCTGCTTTTCTGGAGACAAAGACGAAATATCATTTTCCCACCAGAAGGTAATTTTTCACATTTTTTATTGTTGTTCAAGTACAGTAGTCCCCATCTTCCCCTCAGCACTCCTCCCCAGCCCCAGCTATCCCTACCTCCCACCTCTGATTCTTCGAAACTAGAGCCATATTTTATGACAGAGAAGACTTGAGTATAAGAGATCACATGTATGCTCTTCTAGTGAAAGAGCACAATTTTGAACATAAATCTAACTACTGAACTCCACTGCCTCTTTTTTGTGTAATTTCTGCCACTGGGAACACATAATTCAGATCATCCTTTTCCAACGTTTGCAGAGCATTATTAGGAGTGCTCTTCTGGCTGAGGCTTAAACTATACTGCAGGAATCTCCCAGTAACCATTGTTAAATGGTGTAAGATTCTGAGTTTCCCTTAGTGTCCTTACAAATGAATGATTAAAATGCAGTTGTGATGTAAATTGTATTTAATGAGCTTGCTGACAGTAAGTAGGAACTTAACCAGAGGATTATTATTTTTTAATGGGGGTATGTAGAGGAGAAAGAAACGGTTTGGGAGCAGGATAATTCATGTAGGCTAGAACTGAGCAATTTTCTATTAAAAGAGATTGTGGATACTCCAGGGGAGCATACAGATATTGGGGAATGCATAGTGCAAGCAAACATATTTTCCCAATTTATTTTACAATTGATGTGAAGCTCAGAGCCCCTGAAATACCTTTGAAAATTAGTCTAGATGGTCAAACCTCAACATGATAAACAAACTAAAGCAGCAAACTCCATTAATTGAAAAAACAGTCAAATTTTGTCAAATATATAAATATAAATCAGTTTAAATCCAAATTTATATAGCTAGGGGTCTGCTTACATTTATAATATCAAGCAGTACTGGTTCTTATGTTGAATGATTTGTTAGTTGAAGTTACACTCTCACACTTGCTTCATGGGGTGGGGGGTGCAGGGGATGCTGCTCAGTGGAATAGCACAGGACAGCAACTCCAAACGGGGCCTCGTGTTTGGGATTTAATACCCAGTGGCCATCTTGAAGTTTTTAATGATTTCATCTTAGAATTTTTTTGTGAGTGAAGTCCTATGGAG